ATAGCAAAATCTACTTCATATTATTTGAAAAAATGTGTAATATACTCGTAATTCGTTTCATTACATCGTTTTCAATATTTTTTCTTTCATATTTGTTCAGTCCTTTTACTTTTCAGAAAATCTATTAAAATTAAAAAAAAATTATGATTAGATTGTCTTTTTCAGAAATATGACTAACAATATAATAGTATTTAGACAAACATAGTATTTAGCGCACTATTTAAATATTGATCGACATTTTAGTAATGCCTTTCTAATAAGACTTTTTGACTTATATACAAATGTTCTTAACGAATTAACGACGCTCCATTTACTTAAAGTGAAACCTTTTTTACCAACTTTCTACATTTGAAAAGTGGTTACATTTGATAACCGTTGAAAAGATCGTTTAAACAATTGGAATGAATAAGACAAGATAGTTAATTATAAATCTCAACCAAATTTTCTATACATTCGTTTTTTATATTTTACCGTGGAAGGATCACAAAGAAGCTTATGCAGTTGGTCAAAAGAACCAGCACGGCTCCTCTTAAAGGACTGGCATCATGACGTGGAAATTGTACTTCGTTTCGTCTGGTGAGTTACGTAACCTTAGTAGCGTATAACCCTTGCAATTGTAGATGGACATTACTTGACGTTATTACTAGGGTTTATTACTTGTCATCGGGTCAATGCCACATTCAGACATAAAAATTTGTAAATGTAACTACTTATATAGTATGAAAATATAAAACATAAACTATGATGTCAGTAAACAAGCTGTTGACCGTGGTTTTAGATGCGCCAATTTTTATTTTTATTCAAAGCTTTAGTTTAGCCTTTTAATTGAAGCGTCTTAATATTAAGTTCATATTTAGTACTACTAATAGAAAAATATACTTAACCATACTAATAGCTACAAAACTCATTTCTACGTGTAATGATGAAATAATGAAAATATTATCCAAAAAGGACTTTCGAGGAAGCGCGAAGATCTTAATCCAGACCGATATAAAATCGTTACATCAGAAATTAAAACTAAATATAAATCAATCAATGAATCATAAAAACAGTTCCATTTAGTAATATTCTTATTAAAATGGAGAAAATACCTATTTTACCTAAGTTACCTAAGTTTTTAGGTTTAATATTCGCGTAAACACGAGAAATCATTATCCAGGTAAGTATTGGTTACGTCTAAGATGTTCTGCAACGGTTAAGTGGATTTCAATAAAATTTCAAACGAAGATTTAGACTACATTAAAATAACGAATTTATTCGAAACTAACCACGAAGTCGAGACCTTGAGTAAAAATAAATATATCATAATATGTGTTTCGGGATCAGGCCATGATGTTGACAATGACAGTGCCCTCGTAAGCAACGCCCGGAGCTTTTCCCGTGTAAATGGCAGATTTCGTCACAGTCTTGACGACAGACATCACGCCTCCTTGATTCAGCGCTCGTCACTGTAAAAACACGTTCGATTCAAATCAAAGGAAAAAAAAAGTAAACTAGTTTTAATAGTTAAAAGCGTTGTGTTCAACTATTTTTACTGCTAAATATTCAAGTATTGCTTTGGATATATAGAGAATTCGTTTAAACTGATACTAAGAAATATCAAGTAAACATTTTTCGGACAATACAATGACATGAGGCTGATACCTCAAATATAAATGCTTATGTATCATCATCACCAGTCAGAAGAATTCTATATTATATTACTACTATTCAGCTGATTTGATTTTCTGTTGTATTAGTAAATATTAGATGCAGTAATAATTGGGTTTTCAATCAGAACGAATTAAGTGAGACCAAGTTACTAGGTCTAAATATAAGTGGGCATAAGGTATACTTAACAAAATTTGCTTAATAAAGATAATGATTGCGTTCCCAAGCGTTCAATCCGTGGCTCGACTTTCGCTTATGATTTTACCCCACATGCATATTCATCTGATTTGGTACTTTCGGACTTTTTTTAATCTGTGAAAGTTTTAGACCTTGGTGGCTAAAAACTTTCATCATTTGAAGAGGCAAAAAGCCACGGTAAATTATTTTTGTTCATCTTAGTGAACCATGTTTCAACACCGATCCGTTAAAAGGAAATATTTGAAGCATGGGAAATGTATATAGCTGAACTTGACATAGGTAAATTATACCCAATATTACATGGACAGATGATTGGGACCGTTTCTACTACTTCTTATAAATACTTTGAACTCTTGCAATAATTGATTAAAAACAAAAATATATTTTTCAAAATAAATAGTATAGTAGAAGATCCGAATCTAAATTGAACTTCACCAAGCTGAAAAAAAAAAAAGAGAAAAATTTATATTTTTGTTTTATATTGCAATCCAGGATAATATTTTCTTATTAATATCTTGATGATGCAACATTTCATGAAAAAACATTTTTTTTTTTTAAATTATTAAAAATGTTCTGTCCAGGATTTTTTAAGGGAACCCAGTTTTAATATATTTTCTAATATACTAAATTTATTATAAAATAAATTTTATTCTATTATCAGCTCGGTGAAGGTCGATTTAGATTCGGATCTTAGACCAGTATAATAATCATAAGTCTGAAACCGGCTGGAGCTATTTAGTTTTAATGAATGTGGTATAGCGGAATGCCAGCGTTTAATAGTATTTTAGTAGTAGATCTAGGAACTCTCAACCCTTTTTCAATAGATTTTTTTTTTGTGTTAAGTCTAAAACATATCGACAACAGCCTCTACTTATTGCTTTTTCAAATTTTTATGATTTCAATAAAACTTAGGGTTTTACGACAGTTTCAGTTTATTATTTACTGACAATTGCTTGTAATGAGTTTTTCACCATATTTGAATAATTCTATCTATATTAGAAAAAAGTTGAAAGATGAAATAAGAGCTCACGTATGTTGATTACTTAATTTTTACATAACCAAAAGGGACACATGGATTTCAAACCATAAATATGAAACTCTTTATTTTTTAACTGTCCTTTAGGTGTAAATAGGGTTGTGTATTTAAGGTTATTAACGATCTCATTTAATTGAAGATGTTCAAAAAAACAAGAGTCCAAATCAAAGACAAAAGATAACAAACAGTATGAAAATATTCAAGAACACCAATTTAACTAGCGAGATAACCTCTTAAAAGTTGGCAACGAACCGACATCCCATCTGGTAATTCAGCAGGGGATAATTGAAAAAGCATGGGTATCAATCACAAATATATTTACAGTCGAGGAGATGTTAACATTCCATTAATTATTTCAATAAAATGCAATAGTTACACGAATTTTTTTTTGTATTGTATTAAATTTTTTTATACCCAGCTTTCTTCACATTAGATTTAGTTAAAGTTAAAGTTCAATTTCATTATTTTTATGATAAAAGCAAGCTAGCTGAGAAATAAATAAATATTTTGTTTCGGTAGAATACAGTTCGACCCGCCTCTAATAAGCGCGATCCGTTTAAAGTTGAAATGCTAGGAATCAAACTTATTGTAGACTACAGAACAGTATTACCATATCAAAGTATATTATATAACAAAATCATAAGCATTGAATACGAAAGAACGGCTACTTAGATATATGGCAGATACGTTTCTATTTATTATTCCCAATGCGGTTCTACTACGAAAGAGGTTTTATTTATAAGTTACGTTGATTACTTCGACTTCACGCGTTTACGCCCTGGTACTTTAGCTCCACTAATTTAATCCCCTGGAGGGAAATGTATAAATTCAATAGGAAAATACCTAATCAAAACAAATACAACAGAGAATTTTTAGTAGAAGTAAAACACATTTCGATATAAGTACTATACGATTTATCGTAAAGTAAATTAATAACTATTTGCTAGCATTATATTTAAGTACAGTTTGTTTAAAAAATCTAACTTTTCCTGTCTCTCGATTGATCAGTTGCATTCAAGTGGCTTTAATTGTTTATAATAACAGAGTAAACTTATCCGAACATTTTTAAACTTTACAAATGAATAAAAAACTGACGTCGGCAATAAATACAGGGCGATTTTTAGACGACACTACATATTTTGACATAACGTTAATTGAGCATTCCATAATTCAAAAAAAATTATTAATATTTTATTTTGACAAGAAATAACCAGAAAAATATCAATTCAAACATTGTTTGTTTATCCCCTTTAAAAGTGGTCACCATATTGATAAGCGGCATAGTAGTAATGCGTTCAGCGAACAGTTTTGGTGCTCGTGATAGTTTATTGTATTGAGAAGGCAAGGCAAGAATTTCTAATAGGGTGAAAAAATTAAAAATAATCTTTGAAACAAAAAAAACATGAGCCCACAAGTACCTACGTACCAGATTCAGATTTAGAGTCAAATTCTGCATATGCTCTATTTATATGTCCGTAGTCTATAAAATCACTCTGTATATCTCCAACGCCTTATTTTTTTAAATAGCTAAAATTAAAATAAGCTAAGTGTTTATCAATCTCATAACATATATTACATAAGAATACATGCAACTAATTTATGAAACTTTTCATGTAATTTATAATAGAATATTTTTGAAAACCGTTTTACCGATTTCATCACGCTAAACTTTATTCCTGAAATTCTGAACAATTCATAACATTCATAACCATGTTAAATTTAAAAATAGAAAAAAATTAATACTTTGTTACGTTTTCGAAAATGTATGCATGTATACACACAATTATCACAAGGATTTCAAGAATAATTATATCATCTTAGAATAGCAAGAAATTGAGGCTTAATTATGTGTGCCTTAGAAATTGATACAATGTGGTTGTATTGCGTTAATATAAGGTCTGGAATTAAATTGAAAATCACTTGTTAACTTACAAATCAATTTAATTTACAAAGCAAGGAAACAGTCCGAATTAAACACCAATACTTACTAAATAATGCCACATCAAAGTTTAATATTATAGTTTTAAACAACACAATCTGAATCTTAAAACTATCATCAAATTCATCACTAATTCTAATAGATATGTCCGTCGTTCATTCAATTCTCCATGATTCACGGAGACGACACTTGTCCACCGCAGTAACAAGACTTGTGCAAGCATGCTCCAGAAGTCTGGCCTCGTAAAAGGCACATCTCACTGCACTCTCGGCGACATTGCGTCTTCTTAGACTGGGAAACAGCTGACACTAAAATAAATTTTGTTGCTAGAGTCTTTTATACATTTATCTTTATTCTAATAGTAAAACAATTGTCAAAAAGATCGGTGATAACGCCATTTTAGGCTTGGTTACAACTTCACAATAGGCATCTTAGTAAAGTTATAAAAAAAAAAGTAAATTTTAATGCTGAATAATAAAAAAAGATATTAAGATTAAAACCGAGCCAAAGTGCGAGTCGGACTCGCTCGCTCGCTCGACATTTATAAAACGGCAAAAATCATGTCTGTTGTATGGGAGGGGCTCTTTTATAAATACTTAACTAAAATATACTGTATTTATAATATAATATATATTTTTATATTAATATTTTATAAAATATATAATATATTTTATATATTATATATTTTATATAATATATTTTATAAAATATAATTACTTAAATAAATAAACTTTTTTTTTTATATTGGCAACAGATATACATCATCTGTGAAAATTTCAACTTTCTAACTATCACGGGTCGTGAGATACAGCCTCGTGACAGACGGACAGACAGACAGCGGAGTCTTAGAAATAGGGTTTTTTCTTATAATTAAATATATATAATAAAAATTTCCATAAATTTAATATACAATTTACCTTTCTTAGTGGTTATTATTTCATAAACAGCTTGCTGCAGCTGGTGCACTAGCTAAATACGTACAAGTGTAATACTTTTATTACATTACATTTTAAAGTAAAACTACTCTTATCGCGACCTACTTGAGAGAGACTCATTGCATTATTATCGCAACGGTCATAATTGATTTCTGGAACTCATCCGTTGCTGCTAATTGTTTAAATCAAAAGGAGTATCGCTGTTATTAAATCAATTCGCCTTTTTGTATTTATACTTATAATGGAGTCTTTACTTCGTTAAACTGTTGAAAATCGATCAAGTGGTCTACAAAAAAATTTAAAATTTATTTCACTCGAGTACAATTTTTTTTATAATTTTATAACCTTACCTAATATTGTGTTCAGCTCGTAATAAAATAGATTTACTTTTATTTCAAAAGAATTTTTATTTCAATAGAATAAGCCGATATACAGATGGGATGTAAGGACTACCGGCCATTTTGTTTGGTGATATTTAATAAATCACTGATATTTTTAATATTTTATAACATTTAGACGACGAAACAATCGCTCCATTCTAATAACGGATTAAAAGTAGCTGGAATATTAATCAACATTACGCTTGCATTTCCAATACGACCGTTTTTTTATAACAATCATATGTCCATGATGTTTTGCAGACGAACCAATTGTTTCACGTAAAATATAGACTAATGAAAGCTTAGCCGACCATGCCAACTTACTATTGATTTATAACAAAAATGATGATATCTCGATAAATTCAATACCCAAAGGACAGGTACATGAGTCGAAGAAATTGTCATCGAAAACATATCACAAATAATGACGAAAACGCCAAATAATTCAAAGTGCAAAGGTAAGTAATACATTAAAACAAAATGAACATAAGACGAACCTCTTAATTCGCAAATAAACAAGATTATTACAAGTATCACAAAACAAACTCTGAACTTCATTTTGAATAATATAAACTCGCGTAAATGACCGATATCACGTTTTATCGCAACTCAAACAACACTCGTGCTTTTTTTTCTGTTTCTGTGATAACACAAACTGCACAGAAGTTCGCTTCTTTTATTCGATTTGCACAACTTCTTTCCTTTAGTGGTTTATTTAATAGCCAATGGGAAGTCCGACTTTAAAATGCATGCAAATCGTGCGTCTCTTTCGCACTGAATGTTCCAAATCGTTGCTGTGTACCTTAAACGAAAAATTATCTGCACCTGACCGTAACTAACATTTAGAATACAGTGGAGACGAATATCGTTTAAACCTTGACGTAACAACTCTTTCACATTCAATCAATAAATGTTGTAAACTCCATAATATATTAATCAGACGAAGTTTGTTGTCGCTGACGTTGATGCTTAACATTTTTGAAATTTCTGTTAAATAATTGTTTTTCTTCATTTATATTTTTTGTAGCTCAAAACAAAAACAAAATAAAACTATTCAATTACATTCTTTTAGATTATAAGAACTCTTTTCTTTTATTGCTATTATTTGAGATTATCGCCTACATAAATGATCAATGCAATTGCTTGGGAAATCCTTTTTGCTGTAGTACATGATAAAATTGACTCTAGTCAATTATATGCCCAGTTTCTTAAATCTTATCCCAACAAATAGTATTATAAAGTTCATGAGATTGCATTTTAAATGTATTATATTACAAATAGGCTACATGTTTACGTAAAATCACTAAATTGGCAAAACGTTTCATTAATTTTCTTTACTGATTAATTTAATTATCAAGTTTGTTAAGCGAAATAATTTTTTATAAGACTGTGACATTTTTTTATAATACTGTATAATTTTTTTATAAGACTATAACTATTAGAAGATGGCACGTGATAATTCGGCACTTAAAAATAACAATTTCGTTGTTGCCGGCACCGGGGACCGGGGATCGAACTACGGGACGGGGATTAAAGGCGAGCGCCCGGACACTGAGCTATAAATATAAATATTTTTATAAACTTTCACGGCTCTTATCACGTACTTAGCGGTGAAGAAAAACATCGTGAGGAAACCTGCATATTTTCGAAATAAGAACAAAAAAATAAAATATTTCGAAGATATATTGTGAGGTGATAGGAAGATATATTGTGAAGAGGAAGATATAATCCGCAGTGGGGCCGCGTGGTGGACTATGCCCTGATACTCTCTGTACAGAGGAGGCATTTTCCCAGCAATGGGACATGTATAGGCTAATACTTTACTTTACTACTTTAAGAAGATGGCAAACGAGCTGAAAGTTCAGTTCACCTGATACTAAGTGATAACCGGCGCCCATTGTTACCAGACGAAAAGCAGAAGTATATCACTTCCACATCACGCCAGGCTTCAGTGAGATCTTGGTACTTTCCCGGACTAGTCTGCCCATTCGTGCAACAGCAAAGACTGCTGCGTGGCCGTACCACAGCTAAATCTGGTATTCTAATAAAATCTGGTATTACCATTATTTTAACTCAAAATATTTTGATCTTGAAAACATTATTCACTATATGATAAGGTTTTGAATTTACTTAGATAAAATGCAATACCGTCAAACCTGAGCAAGTGAGGACTGGCTAAGCGAGAAAACTCTTTAAATGAGAGTAATTGCCCCCGTCATTGTAAGCCTCAAAAAACTCTATGTATGAGAAATACAAGCATCTATAAGAGAGAGTCGTGGACCCTCAGATAATTGTGCGTGGACCTCTATAACTGAGACTTATCTAAACTCTATTAGTGACAGTCAAGCAAGTACTAACTCTGCTATTTATTTATACAGCGTGTCGTTACAACCGCGACAATAAATGAACACACGTCTAACGCTACTTGCCAATAATTATAAAAAATATAAAACGTTAAAAAAATCCATAATTAAAAAATATATTTTTCAAAGAAAGAAACAAAATTTGTAACAACCTATACATTACAACTGACTGATTCATACATTCAGAGACTTTTTCATTCGTTGCCACAGCGTCGCATTACAAGTCTCTCCTTCTAAGAGTATGTTTTATCTCTTTTAAATTCATTCAACCCATTCATATGCTTTGTGATCTTTACAAATGAACTTTACGTTACAGTTTTATACGTAAGGCTGTTCTAAAAATGTTTGTTTTGTAAAATTTTATAACTCTATATAGATGTTTAAAGAATGTAAGTGCTTAATACAATTTTTAAAAAGTTATCCTTTATATGTGTGTTCTTTTATTGTCGCAGTTGTAACGACACGCTGTATTTATGATTCGTTCAATCTTTATGATCTAAATATTAAGTAAGTCCTAGAGCAGATATACTGTTTGTTTTCTAAAACTGGGGTGAACTTACCATATGAACCTACTTTTATTTTACGCACACTTGACCCTTTTATTTTAAGGCAATACTGCAGTTGATTAATGTTTTTCTTTAAAACATTGCCCTTAATTTAGGATAACATTATGCTGTGTTGTAAGGACGTTTCACAATATAAATTTCATTTGTACACACACCCAGATGCGAAACAGTTATCTGTGGGTCATACAAGCAGTTGTCTCGTGTGGGAATCGAACCCACGACCCCCGACGCCGAAGCGACTTTGGCAACTGCGCCACGGAGTCATCAATAGCGAAGAAAGATTCGGCCCTACGTCATGTCTTAAAGAAAAGTTCAAGTTTTATCTCTAATGAAAACTTAATCACGTAGTAAAATTTAGAGTGAGTTTGGTCCACCAGAATCCACCTATTATAAAATGATTAAGTCAAAAGACGGTAAATTCTCAGTGCTCTGAGGTACACGGAAAAATTAAGAGTAGGCGACATAGTGAGTTTCCCGATATTGTAAACTTGAAAAAAGTAACGGATTTTTAATAGACGTGTAAGATTTCTTATAACGTTCGTGTAAGTAAAATTTATGGTATGTAATACATACATACATATAATTTTTCAAAGCGTTTTTGTTTTATCAGTTATTTAACTTCTATGGGTGATAATTTCAGATCATTTCTGTACCACTTTAAGCTAGAAAACCAGAGTTTCTATTCGAGTGAGAAACCTCCATAAGTAATTGTTTTCTTAACCAGGTTCGACTGCATTGGATACGTGTGCAGATGCATAATAATTAAATATTTGTATTTTTCGTGTTATTTGTATGTATTTTCAATATTCAAAATAGCTATCAAAACTAATTCAATAAACCTATAACGGCAAAATGTAAAAAGACGGAATCAATAGTGTTACGATTTCGGACTTCAAAAATTCAGCTTTTTCGCTAAATCATAAGCATTAGGTTCAGGATTAAATTACGCCACTGCTTGTATCAGAAAGTTTTCTGATATTTACGTGTAAATGGTATTGCGTCAGTGACGGCGGGTACACGACAAGAGTTAATTATTTAAAACGTCGCTGAATGGGACGTGACGTCCGACTTTAGCTTTGCGCTGTTTGGTCAAACTTTAGTTGCGACTCACTATTCAACGCTCACTCCCATCTGCGAGCTGAATCATTTACGAGCTGAATGCGAAGTTAAACCATAAAAGTGTTGTCTAATATGTTATCAAACCGAACTTTTACGAGTTTTAGCAATCTAAAGGCAGAGTTCTAAGAATTTTTTTAAAAATTTGATTATGCTACATTTTTTAACTAAAGTAATGATTTATGAAGTTTAATTGTTACTTTATAACTCTAGCTTTTATGATTAGTATTTATATTTTAGTATAAACCTACTAGGTACACGTATATCTCTACAGTGGAAGATATTTAGTAATTATTTCCGATATCATATGTGATACAATTATTTTTGCTTGTGCCAATTTTAGATTTATTTTAGGTGGTAGGGCAGGCCCGTCCGGGTAAGTACCACGACCTCACAGAAGACCAGCATAAAGTGGATGTATGACAAATACTTTCGCGTTTTTTCTGGTGAGTGAGGTAGCCGGAGCCCAATTTTCAAAAGGTTGTAAATGCATCTGTAACCCTCGGGTGTGGCAGATGTCCATGGGCGGCGGTAGTCACTTATATCCGGTGAACCGTCTGCTCGTTTGACAACTTTTCGCATAAAAAAAACTTCAAATGACAGATTTAAGATCAAATCCATGCGTCTTGATTCCTTGTCACGGTAATAATAATGATAGTTTAGTTAACAAGAACGAACACATGGTTTTATGACATTGTCAAACTTAAAAAAGTAATATTTTAAATAAATGAAACGAAATATTTTTCGGTATTTAAAAAAATCGCGTAAAGTAAAGTAGTTTCATTTAATATGTATAATATTAGCGTAAAATCAAGAAAACAATATTCAATTTTCACTTAAGGTTTCGTCGTATTTGAAGCACTGGGTCAATCTGGAAGTTTCAATAATATAAACAAATGTGATTGATGGAATGTTTTTTACCTTCGAACGGTAATAGACCTATCTATAATAACAGCGTGGAATAAATCCCCACGATGAGAGCATTTAATCAACATACAGTGCCAGCAGGGGCGGGCGGCGTTCTCTGTATGTTGAAATTACGATACCATTCCGTAGATTGCATTGGTGCCAAGCCTTCGATGTAATTTCCACATGTTCTCTATTTAAAAGCTTTATTGACGCCAACTGATTGTGTATTTGATACGTAAGAGCTCCCGTTCTAGTAATGCCTATTATCCGTAATTACAGGTCAGGTTTACGTTCACTTAATGCTATATGCTTTAGCATAAGTTTGCATGTACACAACGTCACTTAAATAGATTACACTTTAAAACAATTATGTTTATGTCGATTGTTACGAGCAGAAATCCGAACGGTAAAGAAGGTAAAAAAGTAAAAAGTAAAGTAACAGTCTATAAATGTCCCACTGCTGGGCAAAGGCCTCCTCTGTAAAGAGAGTATCAGGGCATAGTCCACCACGCGACCCCACTGCGGATTGGCGGACTTCACATATCTTCACATATATTTATTTTGTTATCATTTCGTATATATGCAGGTTTCCTCACGATGTTTTCCTTCACCGCCTAGGACGTGATCGGCACTTAAAATTAATTATTTCATTGGTGGTGGCACTGGGGATCGAACTCAGGTCGCTCAAGTAAATGTAATTAAAGGCGAGCGCCCGGACACTCAGTTATCACAAAAAATATTCGACACACGAAGCTTATAAAGTTAAAGAACTTAAAATTGTTGATGTAAATAAAGAAAAAAAACTTCTACCACCTATAAATTAATTACTTAAAAAAAGGAATCAATTTAATAACATACTTGAAATCTATACGTAATTTAGATAACGTAAATTCGGTAATTTCTTCAGTGTCAACACCAAAAATTTAAGGACGTATATAACTCGTGTAATTCACTATCGTTTGGCAGAGGCCTCGTTAACGCAAACAAAGCCGCAACGCATTAGCCGCGCTTGACTTAACATGTTCACGTTATGCAAATTACTCTTCAATACTAAACTCGGCGTAATTTGACCAATATCACGAACCGGTATGTGTAGCCTAGTCACACTACTGGGGCAACAGCCTTCTTTTAACGTAAACTGATCTAGTAATATTTACTTAAGCTATTAAAGACTCAAACTAAGTCATTGTTTTCTGATCTATCATACATAGCTCTTGTTATGAGCTCTTTCTGAGCTATCATATATATTAATTGCGGCTTCAGAGTACAGAAGTTATGATTTCTTTCTTTCTAATGTCAGTTTATTATTGTCAGTAAAGTTTCCTGTGTGAAAAATTATGGTGATCAAAGATAGTAAACTCCACTTCCTAAAATGAAAGGTAGCAGTCGTTGAAATTAAGAAGAAGGAGGAGTGTAGGCTACCTAATTTTGATATTATTTGGCAGTATCTTTATAATATCCTCAATATCTCCAAATATTGATAGCTATTACTCATATACATTAAATCTAAGTGTGGATATTTTCAAATTACTTTAAAATGGAATACGTAAAGCGGATATAGACATATGTCATTGATATTGCGGCATTCCATTAGAGCATATACCGATTGCTCATTCCTCGCAAGTTCAGTCCTAATTTTATGAAGATATTTTTGATGACTATCCATTATGCACATTTTCAAATAACCTTTTATATGTCTGAATATTCTGTACTATATAGCCATCATATTATAGACAAAGTGATTATAGCACCAGAATTATTCGATTGAAGTAGCTATTTTGCGTACTATCTAGGAATTTAATAAAATTACACTGCTGTTTTTCTTCTGGCGGTAAATGAAGCCATTCATAAATTCATTGGTTATTTCGTTAGTAAGATTTATCCTGTTAAAAAAAATAACAAAATGAATGTTAATAAATTATAATGGATTATTTAAAAACATTAATCAGTTGCATAAAAAGGTACAATACAAATGAAAATTTTTGATTGAGACTGATATTTATATAAGTTACAAAAAATATAGATAAATCAATGGAAGCCCGCAGAATTATTTTGCCTCTTGAGGTGAGTTATAGCCGATGCTTCGAGGCTAGATACGTTTCATTTATTTGAGAAACCTAATTTTCTAATATAGACGTCAATAATACCCTCGAAAAAGTAGGAAATTCGTCTACGCAAGGTCGAGAGGAGACGGAGCTAAATTACACCGTGCTCACAGAGCCACAACACTGAGCGTCGCTAAAAATTGTGAGTTATATATCTTTACTAGCGGCCCGCCCCGGCTTCGCGCGGGTGCAATGTATTATATATATAAACCTTCCTCTTGAATCACTCTATCCAGTAAAATAAAGCATGTTTTGAAGAAATCATATCTAATGGTCTCTCTCTCTCTATTATGTTTTGGTCAGAAACAAATTCGTTGGATCTTACAGGGAAAACCCTTGTCGAAAACGACTCTTTGACTGAACACGGACACATGACGTAAGTTTTAACTTTTCATGCTCAAGATGCATTGAAAGCTCTTGGCAAAATCTCAAATTTAATGAACGACAATACAGCTGGCTCCGCAGTTCATAAGAGAGCTATGGATTGTCATTACTGCAGAGTGGAAACGTACTCCGTAAGAAAGCCAGCATGCTTAGACGAATGCAAACTATGATTTCAGTATGGAAGGGGATCCCACTCAAAATAAACTTGTATTTGCTAACGAACTAATAAAAAATCGCGTTTATATTTTACTTAGTGAACACAAACCGGTACACTAGAAGCGCTTTGAAGTTTTTATTATTTCTCATTATTTTAATCAAAGCGTTATGATAAAATCAACGACGTCTATGATACCTCACGTATAAATTTAAAAATTATTGACTACTTAAAATTATCGAATAAACTATCAGTGACAATAAAATTGCTTTCGTGCATATTTATAAACATTTAAATTTGAAATCATCAATAACATTAAATTTTCAAGCATTTCTTTTATGTGAGAAGGCAAATGAGCTGGCGGTTCACCTGATGTTAAATGATAACCGCCGCCCTGGTTACCTAACTAACTCGACGAAACACAGGAAGTATATAAAAGTTCCACTTCTTCTTCTTTGAATAAACGTCTTGATTTGTATGGACTTTCACTGTTTCGTTTATACACCATCTCATATTATCACGAGAAACAGATACTGCCAAACAAAAAGACCGAATGATTCACGCAGGCGGCTGTTTGTTAAACGGTACGGTTAAGTCCCGGTTGCATATATTCCTATTTATAAGGCGGGCATTGTATCGTGGTACTTACCCAGACGGACCTGCAACTTCGTGCAACAGTGAAGACTGTTGTTTGGCCTACCACAATTAGCAGTAAACCAAAGTTATAGTTTTGCTATCTAACATTAATTATTTACACACTAAAAATGACACTAGAGAACATTACTCGATACCAATGATACAACTGTATTGCCAAAGATAGAGCATGTTATCAGTTTCACTCTAAACAAGTATCCAACCGTTAACTGTTTTTTTAAGCTCACAGTTTCTTTTTATTATTCTCTGGTAAGGTTGATGAGATAAAGTGAATAATTTATTAATTTACCTACACAAACTAGTTATTATGTATAATCGCTGTTTAGTCACATTGTCATTGTTTTATTCAAATTTCCAATATACGTTTGAAAACAACTAACTATACGTGCAACGTATAGATTATTTATTGTTTTTCAATATTTGAGACGTCATTATTTATTCATGAAATAGTAATTTATGCGTGAAATCTATCAATCTTTGAAAAAATGATTTGATTTGTATGTTCTTTTGCTGTTTCGTTTAAACACCGTCTCATTTTATCATAGGAAACAGGTACCGCCAGACAAAAATCCCCGCATGATTCACGCAGGCGGCTCTTTGTTAAACGGTACGGTTAATTCCCGGTTGCATATCTCCCTATTTATACGGCGGGCATTGTATTGTGGGTTCAGTTGTCCGGCCATAACTCCTAGTCGCGTACGCGTGAAAAAATATATAAAAATGAAATATTTGTGCCAAGTTTTAGCAATCGCATGGTTAACTTTTGCTCAGGCATCTGTATTAATCAACATAATAGACAATGGTACAAGTAAGTCGAAATTTGATAACATATATAAGGTTGCTTTATATAATATATATCTTTATATTGGAAAGATCTAGTCAGGTTTTACAAATTTATTTAATTAAAACAAATAGATTAAAAAGTTACGAGGAGCCAAACTACATCAGTTGCTTGCTGCTTCATCATTTGTTACATGGATCATGTTAAATAGACTTAACATCATCTTAAGATCGTCAAACTTTTTTCATCATCACCTAACCTCTACAATATGTTAAATCCCACGATCTGAATAATACAATTTTTGTCGGATTCAAAGAATCGTAAGTTGTACTATTCAACCATTACTTGTCAAATAAAAAAAAGGATAATCTAGTAATTAAAACCTTAACATTCAGATGTCTTTTGATAGGAATTATTGTGTCTTTAGCACGGATTGCAGGGAAATGCGGATTTCATGGTAATGAAGAAGCTAATTTATTGGAATATGCGGTCTGCGTGTGAATGCATTTTGAATGGTCTTTCATAAGATCTTATTATATTATATTCCCATGATCTTGTGTCTTTTGCGAAAAGAAGGTTCATGGTTAAGTCTTGCAATTTCCAGTGCTACTGTTCATTTCATTTCATAATATTTTTCTCTAAAAGGAAATGAAACATATTGAGTGGCATTCTTTTCATTTCTGTAAGTTTCATGCACGGTAACATATACATATTAGACGTTTTTTTAACCTTAACCCGACTAAAATTATGTAATTTATTTACAGAAGAAATTACCAATTTAGCAAATGGCTCACTATCATCAAACCTCGATCCCGATAATACAAACAAACTGACTACTTGTAACGCAAAGTCATGTGTCTTTTCATGCCAAATACTGAATTTTTCTGATGGCAGATGTAAAGACGACATTTGTGAGTGTATAAGAGTATATAAACTGAGGCAAAATGGTAAGCATAAATCGAAGTATCTGACATTTTTCTGATATTTCATGTAATAAATGTATTCGTGGACCAACAACTCCAGAACTAAATTGTATTTCTCTGCTTAAATTTAGATATAAGTGAAATCCGCATACTCCGTATATTATTAGTTACGATAAGATGCCTTCGCGTCACTGAGCGTTGTTTTTAATTCAGTTTTCTGAGCAAATTATCATTTTATCCGGCAAAGATTATTTTAAGTGCTTGTTTGCCAAGTAACCCACTGGAGCACTACAGCTATCTCTCAGCAGACAAGCATAAATAAAAAAAAATATACTTTTGGATTTCGTCTGATAAGTGACCAGTGAGACACAGTTGGCAACGCATCTACTACCTCACAGCTGTTATAGATGCCGATAAGCGGCAGTAATCACTTAACATGAGGTGACTCACACCCATATATATAAATATTGTATTCATATCAGGATTAATTTCAAATAATAATGTACCCGTGTGTACTCATGTGAATGACTGTGACGAAACTAAACAAAATAGGAGGGCTATGTGTATCACACTTGTATGTATGTATAACCGTCCTCTTGCTCCCTCAATTGAACTCAATTAAACTGATTTTGATGTATGTGTGTATGACATGTCAATCACGAGAGTGTAGCTGGGTACATAAAAATTATAAAAATGGCAGATTGTTAGCGGCAAAATGGGTTTTGAAAAAACTCCCAGACTTTTATTTGTCGTTTCGTTCAAGGAATGTATTATTTTAGACATTAATAAATCGCAGCATATCGGTGAATGTAGCCCACTAGAATGCGATCAACTATGTCGACGTATAGGATTCCCCGGCGGCGTTTGCGTGAATAACAGATGTAAATGTGACATCATTTAAAACTTCTAAGGTAATGTTGTATTATTCTGTAAAGTCTAACTTATATCTCTTTATCTCGATCTTTTTTTTTTTATATGTTGTAATACGTTATATTTTTCTATAGCAAAAAAACTGTAAATTATCTTTTTACGTATTTTAGTTTCAAAGGTAAACTTTTGAATTGTTTTTAAGTATTTTATGTATTTATTCATGTAGATAGTTTCAGTAAGTTGTTAAAGTTATTTTATATTTCGAAGTATGCAACAATCTTTCCTATTAACAATCACTTTCTTCTTGTATTAACTGATGTTTTTGCTTTCAGTCCCGAGACTATTAAAGCTTCATCGGACGCAGAACCGGTGGGCTAGCCAGAACCCACGGGTTTGGACCCTCCGCTATGGGTAGGGTCGCGCATGAGCACATGCGCGCGTTTAACTACTATGGTGTGTCATCTAAGGGCCGTCGAGGTCGCCGGTTCGGACCGAGACCCCGACGGCCGTCGACTGTGCATTTAGCTAATCGGTGGCTGGGAGCGGTGAGAACCGCCCCGGAACGCGGGTGTACCTTGTATACGCGTTGTGAATCGCTTTCTTTCACGGTTAAATGCAATAATAACTTTAGTAAGAATTATTTAAAACGAAAGTGCTAAACGGCAAAGCCGGCATTAAGTGGCTGGCATGATATATACACTCTACTGGTCTACCCCAGTGCAAAAAAACACATACTAATCTCTTTTACCGTTACGTCAATCGTTACCTCACTCACCAGATGAAAAAGTATAAGACTAAATCTTCACGCCAGGCTTAATATATTAAAAACATGTTTAAGCTTTCACACAACCCAGAAATTAAACATTTTAAAACAATTTTTATAACGACTTTCTTCCAGGTTGACTAATCAGTAACCTACGAAACAAGAAGTATGGAGCACATTTATGCACAATCCTAAGAATCAAGTAATGTTTAATAAGTTGTTTAAACAAAATTATTTACTATTTTATAATTCAATACAAAGTTTTTATTACCAACAAATACTCAATAAAAGACGTTTATGAATGTTTCTCTTTCAATTACTTTATTGTAATTAACAAATCAGAAATAATTACATTACATGTATGACTCCAAGATTTACAATATCTTTTATACTATCAATTTCCTTTAAAACGTAAAAATAAAAATAACTTACATATTTAATAAAACGATGATTTATACGCAGACCTATTAAATTCAAGGTCATGAACTAATGAAGTTTACTTTTCCTAATTGTATTCAGTATATTCCTCTTAAATTTGAGTTAAGTTTTGTTCAAGAGGAATAAAGTAGGGAGAAACACAAAGCAGGCTTTAATCTTACGCAATAACAGCTCTGTTTGTAGAAATAATCGTTTTTCTCCAAGTCTTTGTGTGCCTTTCAGTATTAAGGTACAAAAGCTCACAGTAAAGTACTAGACCTTCTTGTCTCAGACAAATAGCATAATCAAAATAAATATTTCAAAGTAAATTGTTACGAAACGTCATGTTTATTTGATCATCTCTCGGTACTCTTACTTTGTATATAAAGGGCGCTTTTGTTAATTTATTTTGAATCATTTTTTGCCGATTCCTTCTTGATGCTCGTTTCGCTCGTCGCTCGACCGAGCGCATTCGTGCTCATTCTACTTCAGTTTTACCGCTTAAAACATGTGTTCATTAAAATTGAAGCGAATAAGAAGTTTATTGTATAAACCATGTGACCTTGTATACGTTAACCATATCCATATTTAAAAAAAAAGCCAACAATTTAACAACACCCATAAAAATGTCATGTAACATGCACGTATAACTATTAACATAAATAATGATAAATATATTGTTTCATGCAATTATTTAAAAAAAAAGGGGGAAGCCAACTGCGATTCATTATAATAAGTGATGAATGCTGCCCACATAGACTCACAACACCCGTTCGCAACCAATTCTTCCAAACTTATGTTTTAAGTTGGTATTCACGACACTCCCCGTTACATTACTCAACAGATGAAATGAAAAATCATTAATACGGGACATTTATTTATGGGGCAGACAAATACATGTCCCGTGGGAATCAAACCCACGGCCCTCGACGCCGAAGCCAATAGCATAGGAACGGTGCCATTGAGTCATCGAGTCGCATTTGCGAGTCCGTAGTATGTTCCTGAATGAGATGTGTGGACAAGGGTATTGTTAATTTTTTAAATTTCAAACTGGAGTCAATAAATATTTTTTTTTTCTTATTTAAGTCAACGTCAGATTACTAGGGTAATTGTTCGAATTGGGATGAACATCGGTTGGCATTAATTGAGTTTTGTCAACTAAAGCAGTACATCATTTTATGACTTAGTATTATTGTAACCGCATGACGTCATACTTTTCCTTTTACAGAACATGCATCTGCTAGATAATTCACATCAACGTTAAAACATTTTTACTTATACTGATGTTCGCCTTGTGGTCCCGTTCACAAGACAGGTTTTAAGAAAACAAATCTGTAACCAAATTAGCCAGTCGCCAAACTTTTATATAATATCCAACTCGTCAATGATATTCTGTAACAAACGTGACTGAACAAGACTGTAAGAAGTTTGTTTTGTTTGATTTAGCGACACTCAATGACAAATGGAACAAGTTTTGGCGAGTTTTAATGAAATTCTCAAGTACTTACTTCCAAAGCAATTAGCAAGAAAATGACACGTCTCCAATATTGTATATTGGGTGGGGATGGTGGCAAAGTTTGGTGTCGCTACTCATTTATTTCAAGCGCGTGTCTCGCATATTATTTATCATTTCATTATCAGTAATTAGTCATCGCATTTTACATTATCAATCATTAGTAATCTATGCTAACAGGACTCCAGAAATATGAAAGTGTGAAAAGGTGTGGGTAGGTGGGTAGGGTGCTCGCCATGAGATTTTGTACGCCTTGCAACCACTGCTAACAACACTGTCTTAATAATAAAAATGTTAAGGTAAATCAATATAAATATAGATACACCTATTCAACGAATTAATTTATTTAATTATTAATTAACCAAACAAATAATTTAATTTTCTTCATTAAAGTTGTCTTGAAATAATTGTAAATTGTATTATCGTAAATTAGAAAACATAATTCGAAAACTAAAGCCCAACTAAAAAAAGCTACTTAAAATTGGCGCTCTAAGTAATATGACACAAGTTAATCATCTCTGACAGTTATCTCAAATTCCAATTTGCCCTAAGCTACTATTTCTAGATCGCTTACTATTTATAGAATGTGTTATTTTGTTAGGGTATGTGATGGTATAATTACGTTACATGAAATTTTTCATTACATACATAATATATAAGGATAGCATACAACCACAGCTCTCCTCTGAAAATCACAGAGAATAGAATATGGACATTAAAATTAAAGTGGTGAATAGTTTGAACATAACAATTACAGATGAGAATATTTTCGTGTTTCATACTTTTAAAAGCGCGATTGTTTCGAAGCACGATCCTGAGCCACCTGCATCCATCTACTTCCCGCACACTTGCACAGATCGTCACTCCAGCTATTGACTAACGAATGTTTTAGGTAATCTTACTTTAAAAAATCATAGGATTGTTTAAAATGCAAAAAATCTAAATTAAAAAAAATCATTAGTTTAAATTTTAATTTTTTTTAATGTTAGCCAGTACCCAAATTAAATGTTCCCGACTGAAAGAGGGCCAGTCTTCTGGTCCGTTTAACACACGTCCAAACGATGAGCTGTGCTTTTTTTTTTGATAATTTGATGGAGCCCTAAATCTTTTGGTCATACCTATTCAAATTTTTCAGTTGTTCGAAAATCTGATTTGGCGCGTAATTTTTGTAGTCAGCATCCAAAATTCAAAAGTTTTCATTCTATGATAGAACTATTAACTTAACTAGATATAATAAAAAATACTAAGCAAGTTAAATATCATGAATACTTCATAGCAACACACAGAAGAAAGAACTGAGAGAAAGTAATTACGGGTTAATGAGCCCGAGTTCCTCTCAAATGTGTACAAGTAGTCAATTATAGTTCCACTAGGGGATTTCTTGATCCCTGTCATAGAACACGAATATGAATACTTACTAAAAACTTTTTTGATCCGTTAACAAAGGCTAGAAAGTCGGCAATTTTCTACAACTGTTCCAATTTTCGTTTAAATAATATACAAGTTGAAAACTTAATAGAGGTTTTTTTTTATGTGAAATGTTCTACTGTTCACCTGGTTTTAAGCGATTATGGCCGCCCATGGACATTTCCAACATATAAAGCGTAGCTGATGCGTATATTGATGCATAAAAAATTTACATTTTTCCTAAAAACCTAGATGGCCGAAGCTGCGGTGTTTCACGTTTGTAGGGTTCCGTACCCAAAGGGTAAAACGAGGCCCTATTACTAAGACTCTGTTGTCTGTCTATCTGTCTGCCTATCCGTCTGTCACCATGCTGTATCTCATGAACCGTGATAGTAATACAGTTCAAATTTTCATAGATGATGTATTTCTGTTGCCGCTATAACAAATAATAAAAATTATTTAAGGGGGCTCCCATACAACAATAGCGAGGCGGTTTCTTGGCAACGAAGTGGTTCTGCCATACAACAGACATGCATTTTTTGCAGTTTTTATAGATAATGGTACGCTTCGTGTGCGTGTCCAACTCGCACTTGGCCGGTTTTTAAGATGCTTGCTTACGCAAGCTTCATAATCATTTAAATAAAATTGACTTCAAATATGAGTATAGATTATGTTTGAAACTTGGCAAGATGTGGTTGAACCTTGAATAGAGAAAGGATTTATTTTAATATCTCTCGGGACATAAGTTACGATATTATTCAGATACTCTAGAACTAACACCATTTATTATATAACATTTTCCCCGGTTCATTTCTCTGCGTTGTTTAAGGTTTGCTGATATTAAGATGTTTATTATGTAGATGTTTTAAGTGACATAAAGATAACTAGATCATAATTACTAACTAGTTTTTAATAGTTCGTATACCCTAACATAAACCACAGAGCTATTTTATACCTTAAAAATTTTATTTAAAAATAATTAATTCCGAAAAAGACTTTTCTTATTTTAAACACAATTACATTTTAAGAGAACCTATATTAATAGTTTTTCTTCTTAGGAGTGCCTTAGTTCTGCATATTTTTTGTCTTGATCAAAGGTTCAGCTGCGCTTTAATAAATTATCTAAAGTAGACTTCAGCCAGTCTTCAGGTACGTAGCTTGCTAATAAGATTGAGGGTAGGCGCTAAATAATACAATACGTGTTTTATATCGGTATTTACATTTTTAATTAATATTATAGTTATATTTGTTATTATTTGAGTTTTTATTGAAAATTATGTACATGTGAGTGACATTACCTACCAGCAAAAGTTATCCTTGAAAAAATCACTGTTATTTCACTGTTTCAATACTGATAGTAACCTCATACAGAATGGATTCCTTGAAACAATCATTCTCAGCAATGTCTGAGATGTTTTATGCTAAGATGGACGAGTTTCAGCAGGATTAGCAAAAAAATTTTGCCAGTAAGACCTCAACGACTACTTCGACGATAGCTGCAGACTTTGAGTGTTTTAAAACATTCATTGTGGCTGCATTAAACACCTTGCAACAGCAAATGGAGTTCCTCAGGCTAGAGATGGATCGACAAGAAATGCGAAGCAGGCGGAAGATGCTCCTCTTACACGGCGTCCCTGAAGTGAAGACGAAAGACCTTGCTGCGCGCGTCACAACAGTGTTCGCTGATCATTTGGACTTGCCAAACTTTGCTAGCTCGAGCATAAAGGCAAGTTATCGTCTCGGCCGCCCATCGGATAACAGACCTAGGCCTGTTGTTGTAAAGTTTGCTGAATATGCAGTCCGT